GCAATAGAAGCTATACAAAATATCGTGCATATAATACCACGTTTTGATAAAACAAATGAATATTTTGTAAATAAATACATATTTTGATAAATAAAGTTCTATTTTATTTTTTTATAAAGTTATAGATCATTAATATATAAAAGAGCGAAAATAATAATAAAAATAAAAAATTGTAAATGATTAAAAAAAAATATTTTTTTTTAAGATAATCCTGATATTAATATATAATATAAATATAATTTGTTTTAAAAAAATTCAAATAAACTTATTTTATCCTATTTATTATTGATTAAAAGGTGAATAATATTCAAAAAGAAATTATCTGAAACAATTACTTGATTTTCAAAAAAAAAAATATTTAGCATTCTATACATCAGGAAAATATTTTAGATGCAAAAAAATTTCTTATGGAGTAATACTTCGTAATTTTTAGTATATCATAGTTAATAAATACATCATAGAATTATATAATTGTATAATATACACAAAATTGCGGAAGTTAACGTAATTTTATCCAACTCAGATTCTAATAATATAGAAAAGCTCATTATTGTCAGGAAGAAACAGATAACTATTAAGCGTCATATCAAGAGCAACTTGATATCTAATGACTTAACATCAGAAGCAACCACACAAAAGCTAACTTTAAGAGTATAAACAGACAGAAAAGGAAACTAGCTAAAAGGAATATATGAAATGAAATAATACATAAAAAACCCTTTCAGAAAAAAGTGGGAATCCTACTTCATGTCAAAAGTTATGCGTAAACAGTCTTCAAAATAGCACCTGCACTTGAGAAAATACAGATCTGCATTAAAGGATGAAAATGGGAGAACACAAGCATATTTATATTAGATTTACAATTAAAATGTATATAAGAATTTTTTAACTAAAATCTATAATCAGATCATTAAAAATGCGTTCATCCTATAAAAGAAACCACCAAAAATATTACAAACGTAAATGAAAAATACCATCATTTGAATTACAAAAGATCATTGATGAACAAGATGTTCAGATCTTGGATTTGTCGATACATTCAGCAAATAATTTATCGGAACTTCTTGAAGAAAATGAAAAGTTGAAAAATGAAGTTTCGTTCTAAACGCGTAAAGTTGAACGATATAAAGAGGTAGATACTAGAAAACATGAAAGAGAAGATGGCCAAACAAACAGAAAGATTAAGAGCAGAAGAAAAAAAGGTAATGGAATATTATTCTAGAATGACAAAGATGAATAAATAAAAATTCTTTTTGGCTTAGTAGTTAAAATTATCCTAAAAATTTTTAAATGTGTTTCTACATGTCAAAAATTACATCAGAAAAATTTTTACGTTAATATTATGTAAATTTACATAATACTATATTGTAAATATTTCATTTTTAGAATTCGTTCTAAAGTAATGCAAATCGTAAATATGTCATGTATTAGGAATTTTTTTTAGTGTAATGTCATATTATGTAATACTATAATATAATGGACTCTCAACCTGAAAAAAATGATCTTACCTGAAACAGAGATTTTCAGGGGTGTCAATTCAGCCTCCTTTGATTTTGTAAAATCTATAGTATTTATTATATTATTCACGAATAATCATCTCCTGCTTTTAAGTTGTAATAAAAATAGCTAATCACGAATTGATGAATAGTTATTTTGTATCACATTCATAGTATAAAAGTATAACTAATGTTTTTAACAAATGTTCTTTATTGCAAGGATTGGCAGTCCTGTCTTAGTTGGTAACAACTCAGACCCTATTGTAGGTTACACTGCAATAAACCCTAGTTCAGCCACTAGCCAAGGCAGATCGCAATAAATTAATTTATGGAATTTACCAGTTCGATTCCGGGAATGAATTTCATAGAGTGCGTACAAACCATGTACGTTGAAGATCACGAATTTATAGAATAAGATGACCTATTGATGGTTATTTACATGTTAGATGGTAGCTTTCACGGCATAAGCTGTGTAAGGTCGCTTCGTCTACACACCACCCTGACAACAGGTAATGGTGATAAGTAACTTGATGCATATATGAACCAATTGAATTTGGAACCTATGTTAAGGGGCTGGTCTTTAATGAACAAGTGCCGCATCGTCTGCAAAAGGTGCCCATAAGGGATGGATCAATGGTAGGTGTTGGATAACTAGGATTGAACAAAAGTCTTGGTTATCGGTGGTTGATATTGCATTGTCTTCAACCATCGTAATGCCTATATCACAACTAGGGTTTGGAGGCTGGAGTTCGATTCTCTGGGTGATTTTGACGTATAGCTTGGCAACTATAGTGTAGGCTATCATCTTAGGTTGTCATGACTCTCTTTCCAGTAGTTGTGATGAATGTGAATGAAGAG